TGCATCTTAACTTCTTTGCATCCTTAGACCACTGAACTTCCCCATCTTCTGTTCGACTCCACTTTCAACTTTCCTTTCTTCATCCAAATGGGCAGCCAAAAGACAGCAACCAAAACCGGCGCACGAAGTTACATAGTTAATGGTTGTATAAAATGAACTGAACTGAAAGAGTAAAGAACTCTTCTTGGGTATAAGTGCTATTCGGGTAAATCTCCAGGAATCACTTACATGTAATGTTACGGGGATAGTTCTTTCCGGTACCCATTTTCCGTTTATCTAGTACACTAGTTATTGAATATCACAATCTCTGATTTGTGAATCAACACACCTTTTGCCGTACTGTACCATTTATCATTGGTACTATTCACTCATCTCACAATCCCGTCGTCTTTCTGCTCAAACTCGATATAACTGTTCACTGATTGTATTCACATCAAGAAATGTTTCTTTTTCCTTGCGGATTTGAATAACTACTGTTGGATTTACTACCGCAATATCGTTTCTTGAAATTCCCCTCTAAGTTTTAACCATTCGGGCATTTTGGTTTCTGGGCTTCACACGAAAGTGTTGTTTGCTTCATGATTTGCCCAAGATTACTGTTCTTTGTCTCCTCTCTACCACCAGAAAAGCTTCACTCAATCTTTTTTTTTTGAGGTACACAAACTACCCCTCTCAAATGATGTCCGGCTTTTGTTCTTAAAAGGTGCGTCTTTANCGTCTTTAAATTAGTCCCATTCATTCATCACTTGTCCAAATTATCTCAACTGTCCGCCGCATTTCCTGAGACCTAATAAACGCCTGGTGGCCTTTTTCATTTACGTGATGATCTCTTTGATCCTAACGAGTAGGATCTCACCTTACACATAGCCATCATCATCTCCGAAGTAATAGAGACAAATCATCGCTAACCATCTTCATTCACGTGTAAATATGAAAATTACCTAGGTAATCGTCCACACCGTTCTCGTCGCGCTACTTCATTAGTCATTTCGTCATCCCTGAAGGATCATATCAGCTGCCAAGGTCCACTGGTGAAACTTCTCATGTTTGGGTTTTCATCAGGTCTTGTGTCGTGGACTGCACGTTTACGCTACTGGTGAGACTCTTAACTTCGCCTTTTAAGTAACGAAATTCTGTAAGCTTCCATGCTTTTACTCGCTTATTTCCTTTGCTTCATCCGTGTTTTCCTTGTCGCTATCTAGGTTTTTCTCGATCATATCAACCCATCCTGGCTTCCTCTCATACCGTTGACAATGTTCCTAGGCTTTACCATTAACCGTTCATCATTTTAACACTTCCCTTGGGTTTCTACAGCTCTTAAGTACTTTCGAGAATTTAATCATATCCTCCTCTCAAATGTCGGATTTATCTTTCCTCAGTTACAGCTTGACTCAGCTTCACCTTATCCTAAAAACCGATGCTTGTTTTTGAATCGTTTCGCTTCTTGCTTTCCCGACCACACCATAGTTTTTCTTGCAATCATTTGCAGAAGTTTCCACTTCATAATCGTTTTCTCTGACCGACTAAATCAAATCAGAGACCAACTCTTCCGTCAGAGATCTTTCCCTAACTTTCCGTTTCTATCGAAACCACTTGTTTTGTCTGTCGTGATTTGATTGGCATTTCTTCTCAAGTTGGGGGAGTGGAATACAAACGTTTTTATCAGGTATCGTGTCTTGATCGGTATATCAAGAGTTTTCAGTTACCTTTTTAATAAGGAAAGCTGAATAGGGTAACATTTTTTCCCGTTTTTGCTTTATTCCAGTTCACAGCCTCCAACTCACTAACAGTAGGATAAAACTGAACTTATCGTGGGCTATTCCCTCATAGGTATACTTGAGCTCAAACATTAGACTTTTTCGTTACCTATGTATTAACAACACATTCAGAGAGCGTATACCTGAAAGACAGGAATCAAAATGAACACATGAAAGTGTAAGGTTAGTGGTTGCACAAACTGAAAAATAAGTAATTGGATTAGCGAAGGATGATCCTAGTGATTCGATGGTTCTAACAAGTTTAGTTTTCTAATCACACGAACGAGGGAATCGTCCCATTACTTAACCATTTCGACCGTAAAGGTGAAATGATGCAGTCAAATTAATCTGATGGCTACATCGGTAGCAATTGCGATTAATTCAAGCCAGGCCAAGGCGAGACCAGAAGTTCATTAAACTGTGATATAGATATATGCTCTCAACACCAGGTTCAACATGAGAACGGATGTGTACAATGAAATCAGGTATCGTACCAATAGTATTGATGAGACCTTATTCATGAGCGGTGGCCCTAATTGGTTCAATCGTCCGGATGAAACATGTTAGTTCATTGTATGTCGTTTGCACACAGAAACACACAAATAGCTCCAGCTCTTTCAAAGCCAAACTAAAACTAATCTAATCTCTCGTAATCTGTGACATCAATTGACAGCGTTTTGTCCATTGTTTATTCATAAGCCTAATTACCATTTGCTGTGGTTTCACAATTTAACTTCACACACCCTTTTCTTCATCAAAGCTCGATCAAAATCGGCAACAGTCTGTTTCGCGGGCATTTTACAAGTTGCTAAGTGCTTGCTTATTACTTGACTTGTGACACATATATAGATATATGTCGAGTTAAATTCACGGTCTCGACTTTCGGCTATCATAATACTTCTACCGCATAACAAGACGCGGACGATTCCATGAGGACATTAGGGTCGAAATATCCGCGGTTGGTTTACGTTTTCCACATCACCAAAATGCATAGACACAAGGGACATATAGTTTTAGCGACCAAACAACTGTCTTAGGTGATCCCTCATGGCACATGTCGAAGTTACTTTCCTTACACTTGATGCAGGCCCATAAAAAATCTGTTTGCCGCAATTCAGTGATAATGCCGTTTGTGGTGGTGGTGTGCCCTTCATCCACTGTTTTCTGACCAAACTGGTAGAAAAACGTGTCAGGTGTTAATCTTACTCGATCACTGTCCCCAACCTAGGTTGAAAATCTTTCCCATACAGATTACAGTTTTGGTCACCACATTTAATCGGCTAAGGGCTTGTATACTTTGCCATTAGAAGTCCTAGGAATTCGGTTACCATGTTTAGTGGATCCTGGTGCCGCTTCGACATGCTGTTCCACAAAAAGTTGCTTTGCGAATCCAATGTCTTGTCGCCATGTTTTTATAAAACAAATCAACATTCTGATTTGCCAATACACCTCCGCCCTATACCCCCGCGTTTATTAGGCTTATCATCATGATCTCACTTTACTCTGAGCATAAGTATTTGTTTTTTTTGTCTGTTAGAGCCGTCTCCGTTTTTATTGCATATAGATAACAATATTTTCCATCGACCTACAGACCCATCAAAATGGTTTAAGTTTGTTTGGAGAAAAACTGATGAAATTTTATTGGGGGTACAAATCTGAAACCATTAGAGATCTCGATGGGACGCATCACGACGAGACTGCACCCTGACGTGGTGTGATGGATTGTGCACCTCTCTGACCCAACGAGCTACACAGAATGGCTTTTTTTCAAGCCGAAGATCTAATCGTGCTTGGAAAGTCGAAGGGTAGAGGTCAGCGAAAGTCCAGTCTCCTGGTCCTTCAGTTTGGGGGTTCGACCAAAATTTGTGTTTCAGTCGGTAAAAAATAGTGGAGGAGTAATTGATCCGAGTAAATGGGCCTCCACTTCGCTTCACCCGCTGCCTTGCGGTTAGGTTCTTTCAGAACTAAAGCCTTGGTTGAGAACCCTAATCGTTCTCCTGCTTAGTGGCTGAACACCCTAGCAGTACCTGTCCATCAAACCGCAGTACATATGCATTGCGAGGTTGGCAGCGATCAGTGAAGTTCGCTTCTCTGTATTTCACTGTACGATGATGATGATAGGGTGCATGCCCTAATGAGCTGTGAGCTTAATTCACGTCACGGAGACTCGGGATGGTTTTATAAGTGGATACAATTTCAATTTCATAACAAGAATATTTATTTTTCAGAAAACGTTTTTATTGTTTTTTTGTTTATTTTTTCCATTTACCCATGGCTATTTCTTTCTCACTCCCCATCCCGAAAATCCCCGCAGGGAAGCGCCTGTTGCCACTGCTCGAGCCTTTGTTCTTGTTTTCAACCCTGATGATCGGGCCTGGATTCCAAGCGGCGGTGTTCGTGCCGTTTCGTGGGTTCAAATACTCCAACAAAAAGGGCTTGAGTGCTTCCGCATTGTTGGCTGGCGTCAACCTGATAACCAGGTAGTTGAACCTTCCTGAGTGTTTGTCTTCTTCCTTTGATTTTCCATGCTGTAAATCAGACACATGACCAAGTTGGCGCGTATCTTGATGGTTTTAGAGCCATATCGCAGTCTTTTCCAATATTGTCAATACTGACCCAGATTTAGCAAACATACGAGTAACAGCTGGACTGAACTGAAAACTAGGACGTATGTTCCATACAGCAACTTACTTTGCTCCACAATGTCTCAGGCAAGGGATTTACTTTTAGCTAATTCTTCCGTTACTCAGTATATTGTGGTCTTTACTATGAGTTCCCTCTTGCACCATTTAGCTCACGCACATCAGACTAATGCCTACACTCTACATGTTTCCCCTGACTTTTAACGCTTCAGATTGTGGTGAATTCCGTATTGAAGGCCGGATTGGAGTATCAATCTCACGGCCAGTTTCAGGAATGGCGCGACCCAATTAGTTTACGGGTATACGGACTACATTTCCCCGATCGAGAAGATGCTCAAGCATTCGTGAAAACAATGAACATTGTTCTAACTAAACTGGATGCGTGCATGATAACGGTAAGTTAATTGCACGATCCGGGTCTTTATTGGTTTGAAGAAAATTGGCTTTAGATCTGACTGAGTGTTTCCAGTAGGGGTCTGTGCAGCATGGGGTTTTCAACTCCTCACATTTGCCCAGGAGTAGTAACGATTTCATTTGGTTTTATACAGCAACTTGCTTTGCTCCACAAGATTCCAGGCATAGGATTTACTTTTAGCTAGTTCTTCCGTTACTCCGTATGTTATGGTTTTTACTATGGGTTCCCTCTTGCACCATTTAGCTCACGCACACCTGACTAATACCTAGTGCCCCGTAAAAACAACAAACAACACAAAAAAATATCAAAAGGTGTACGGTGAAACACACGAAAAAAATTTTGTTATCCCAGTTATCTTCCATTTTCCCGTGTTTGACTGTTTCACCCTCTTTCCACTTTGTTCTGTACCCCTGTTATTGTTGCAGCGTTGGCACCATGTTTGTCTATAAGCCGGTGGTGAATATATATATATATATATATATACCACAGGAAATTCTCAACCGACCTCGTTTCTTTTTGCTTGTTTTCGCTGGTCTTCTGTTTATCAGGTTCATCATATCGATGATGTCTCCGTTTGCATCAAGCTAACTTCCCTTTACTCGTGGGTTTTACTGGTTAGACCTTGACCTGATTGGTACCTGTTGGGTTTGGTCCCGAATCACAGAAGTTCGACAATGCTCAACCGAATGATTAATTCAGGGTTGACATCTCGTCGTGTGCATTCGAGTTAGCTTCTGAATCCGTGGATCAGAACGAACACTTGTTCGTCTGAAGCAAATCAAGAAGAATGCATGCAATATGCGTATTCACTCGGGAAATTGGATTCCATTAGTGTATGAATGTTCTGTTCTACTTCTGTATTTATTGTGCTGCGCACTATTGTTAAAAATACTCGTCAGTTTTTTTCCTCTCACTAAGACAATTTATACCGTGGTTTTCTGAAGGTTAGTTTTGCTTCGTGGGACATTCCCTCGACCGATTCAGTACAATTCTATTAATCACTTAAAAGTTCAGTTCAAAAGACCATTAACCTTGCACTTTGATGCTCTGATCCTGGTTTCTGTCTTTTAACAAATATTGGGAGAATCAAAGGATCGGGAGAGAATACGCACTGAAAAGTAAGAGGGCAAATGGATGAATGGGTGAATGCACAAGAACCACTGTTTGCGGGACGCAGTCATACATATCATGTGATGCATCCACGCGCAAATTAGCATTTCTGTAACACTACCACCTGCTTGGATGGATTCTGCATGCATAATTCGTAGCCCAGACATTGAAATGAATAGCGATCTAGGAGCTGCGTTGGTTCCGGGCTTCAGTTACCCATCACTACTCTGTTTCTAATGCGTCTGCGTTGCTGATTCGGCTTTTCGCTTGCTTTGTGCATATCCTGATACATACATATATAGTGACGATTCATGCGTAATCGGCATACATCATCCAACCATCCGACGTTCTTCACACAGCACTCAGTCTGCTTTTTGTTCACCCGGTGTAATGTAGGTATTTGAGTAGCAAAGCGCGCCTGTTCGTTTGTTGATGAAAGTGCGAAACAATTTGGTAACGTGTTGTGAGTACCGAAACTCAACAGGATAACTCAAGCGAACAGATATTGCCCTTACCAATGTCTCGTATCACGATCTATAAGTCAATTTACAGAAGTAGTTTAATGATCACTGTTTTGTACGCAAAAAAATCATTTTTGTTGTCGTTTTTGACCGTGTTTCATAAGAGCAGCCAACCCTCTCTCTGCACAACATGTGCTTTCTCACCACACATTTATTTTCCACACTACTTGTACCTATTTGGTTGACTTGTGGCAACATTTTTGGCATCAACAGAAGTCATGTTGCGGATATTCGCTAGTCCGGCCGAATTCGAACGGATACCCTTTTTGCCCTTGAATCGCTTGCCGAAAAATCTTCCGTCGAAAGAGGCTGTTCTTATGGTTGGATTATCCCAACACTGATCGTCAAACGTTCCCATTGGGAATTACGTTGGTAGAAAAGTGGTTGCTGTGACCGGCTTCTATTGCCTTTCGTTGTGTGACGAACTATTGGATCTATTGTTCATTTATGTTAGCCGGGGTCTTAAGCCCTCGGTATGATATCGGTTAGCTGCGCTAACTAGGCTCACTCGACTTCTCTGGGTTGTAGTCGGGGCATAGAGGCACATGCGCATACATGAATTGGAGGCTGTGTGCTTATGGTCATCTAAATTGAGTTCAAATAATCCGACAATCCCTTAGTGATTATGTTTATAGTTTAACCGCTGCTTGTATCTACCGTAGTGAAGGCAGGAGGAGGTAGATACGGTGACAATGCGATGGTGGGGGCACGTGTTACACATATCACCGGCCCGGCTCCCTCCTTGTACATTATTTCCTAAGCCGTCAGTGCTTGGCAGAATACCAAATGTGGTCAAACTAGAATTTGACATAAGAACTCGGATCAGGGAATCTATCAAGGAACGCTCAATTTGTCCTCAAAATTCCTGTATGATCTGTAGAAAATGGATCCAGATCAATCTTTGCCGCTGGAACTTTCCGGTCGGGACAGAGGCAATGAACTGAATGCTATAGTCCAATTGACCAATTTACCTTATCCGTGTTCTCGTGTTTTTCATTCTAGAATATGAAGACTGTGCGCAACGTAATAAGTAGAGCATATGTTTCACTATTCAAACTTGCCGATATGGCTTTTAAACGCTAACATTAGCACATTAGTTTTTTGACCGGGAAATTGTTGAGTAAATTCATTTAGTTTCCGTGATTTCAGTGATAGTTGACTGGTTGATGGTGGCGCAGTGGTTTGATTTGTGCCCCCCGCCACCACCCAAATTTGGCGGTGTAAGCAAGCTTTGCCGTAGTCCGGTTTAATATCACGCCTGATCTATCGGGGCTTTATGTGGTTTGCCACTCCAAGTCCCGGAGTCCCGGAGCTCAGGTTGCAGATTCCGTCACCGAGCAGCAGATCTTCGTGACTATGGGGTCCATCCTGTCTGCTGTTTATCACGCAAATGTATGCAATAAATAGTTCACAGCACAGTCGCATTATGCCTCCTGGTTGGTACTTTCGTGCTAAACCTAATTGATAGTTAGCGCTTGTGCATCGCTTTCTATGCCGACCTGGTTTACGTGCTTTCTGTATTTTTAAAAATTTTGATAGTGCTCTCATCTTTTCAACTCTTTCATTAATACCTTCCTTACTGATCGATCAAATCGGCTTTTGAAACATTACAATCCTAAACCAGCCCCACAAAATGGCAGATCCAGCACATATGCAGGAATTGTAGATATCACACAATTTTGCACTTGTACACCTTCAACGAGAATTAAAATCTAATCCGCTCGTTGCCTAGCTCTTAGCTGTATTCTCATCGATCACTGTCCTCTGCTTGCCTCTTTCGCTGTTTGATTAATTGATTCGGGAAGGAAAATTCCGACTTNNTTTGTTCACGACCAGATGACCGGTATAGTTTATGATGCTTGCTTGCATTCTGGTCACCCTGTCCTGTTATACAGACAATCATCATTGATAGGACGAGGTTTTTTTCTAGTCACGCTTTACTCATGATCAGCATGCACAAAGTACGACTGAGTATGCCAAATGCAAATGAACTATTCCTTTTGACGGATCAAAGAAATGCTTTTTGTGTCTCAGGATAAACGAAGTGACGAATTGGTGTTTCGGGAGATCAATGCCAAACACTAACCAATAATGGAACTATTCTTGCAATCAAGTAGTATACAAATCAGACAATGATGCCTGGATTGCATCCTATCTGTCATTCACTCATGCGTCTTTATATTCAATCAACCTGGTCCGATTCGATTTGTCCACATTCCTGCTTAACTTACACCCTGTCCGTATTGCTTCCTATCCTGGTTTATACTCGATCCCACGATTGCTTTTTTATGACCGGTATTTAGAAATTATCGCACCTGAGTGACTGAATTGATTGATTGTCCATTCTGCTCCGCTGTGTTTCATTGTTCCCAAACACAGTGGACAAATTACGCATTCCTTTTTCATTGTGTTGCTATACCCATGCAGTGTAGTCAGTGCGAACTGCATCAGATAGGCTTAAAAATCACTACATTTGAACACAAACTCATCAAAATGACCAGATATTCTCTGGTGCTGTTGTCAGCTCCTGCCGAGAGGCGAAAAACGTGTACAATATTAAAACGAAAATCAAAGGATCTATTCAGAGTGGATTCCAAATTTGTTTCTTTCCTTTTTACCCCGTTCTGTAGGGTGAGGAGAAAGCTGGAGATCATAAACGCGGTACCATTGAAACTCATAACGGTCGCACTGGCAACGCGCATCAAACTGCCACCGTGTACGGAGGACCAAAACGACAACCGGAATACGCACAACCTTACGGGTCGGCGGGGTCTTTAAAGAACGAGGCGAACAGGTCTTCACCAGTTCCACCAACGAACAATGCTTCGTCGAAGAACGGTTGCACAATCCTTGTCACACCGGTATCTCAAGCAAACAGTATTTCTTCACATCGTGCCCCAGACGTATCCGCAGCAGTGGATTGCCCGGGCGAGTATGTCGTCCCGGTTTCTTCACCGCCATCGTCTGGAATTGCATT